GGATCCAAAAGACACAGACAATTTGATGTACCACGGCCAGTCCCGCGGGGTTCGCTCCGTCGTGCTACTCAACGCTCCGGAAAAGTCAATCACTTTACCAGAAGATGTCGCTTCATTTGAATTATTCATGCCAAACGTAATGTATCGAAACCTATGTATTTTTTTTTTTTAATTTTCTTAATCCTAATACCTCTAAGACACATGCAAGATACTTTTCATAGTCCTAGAATTGATGAGTAGTATTAATCTTTTATAAAGGCATACAATCTTATCAAAATTTAGACCAAACGTGTTAATAAACACACACACATCATATCTTAAACACCCGCACATACACAGCACAAACAATTTTCTAATATTCAAATAAACATGTAGATTGAAAACTAAATAAGCTATCACATTCAGTAAATCACAGATTGACGAAAATAGTTTTCAACGGTTAGCAGACGTTTTAAGGTCCTTTTTCAGCAGGAGATCTAAGGGCACACTGCTAAGACTACATGAACGGTATTAAAGCTATATGCACAGTTTATAGTTTCACAAATCGTAAGATTAGTTTTACACGATGGTCTCCACAAAACAGGGCCGTCAGAAGCGCACCGGTCGCACCGGCTATGGCCGGACCACTTTTTCTCAATTCCATTACATTCTGAAATAAATATATAATGATAATTATGAATTACAGTATATGAATGTACGCATCGCATTGATTTTTTCAATCATGGTACGATGGACCTGAGATAGAGAGTACAGTATCTAGCCCACTTCCACTAACTTTTAATCTTGTATCTGTTCCTGCATGGGGTTGGAATGGAGGTAGTTGCTTTGAAGCACATTTCCAAAATTTACATGTATGAATTTATACACCAACTTGAGGGGGCGGGGGGATTGCCAGATGAGATTTTTGGGTATCCACAATTTATACTTTTAGACCACAATATTAGCGAATGGCAACTGGAACTTTATTGGATTTAAAAATTAGTTTAGTCTCACGACCTCATCGTGGCGTCGGACGATAGATGGTGGAGATGTCCAGGTTTGTAAAGGGGAGATGTGTATAAGAGACAGATATATTGTTATATTCCAACAACATTAGTAGTTAGATATGTAGTCTTTCTTCCATGGCTGTCTCTTATACACATCTAGATGTGTATAAGAGACAGGCTCTGTTCAAGTGGAGTCGTGCTTTGTTTGACAATT